GCTGCGGGGGCTGGCGGGGCCGCGCGGGCGGTTTTGTGAGCGCGGCGGCTCCTCCCCCGGGCCGGGCTGCGCCGCGGAGAAGGCAAAGAGAAGGGAGCGGCGAGGAGGAAGAGGAGGGAGCCGCGAGCCGCTGCTGCTGGCGACGGGCGGCTTTGGCGGCGGCTGATCCAGGCGGGGCTGCGCTGCCCGCGGTGCTCCCGGCACCTCTCYCCTTGCAGGGCCTTCCCAGCCGGGACAGCCCCCGGGGGATGCCCAGTGCTGCCTCGGGGATGTCAAGCGGGTTCAGGCAGCCACGACCTAGCGGGGCTCCACACCTGGCTGTGAAAGCCAGGCCGACCCGCAAAGCCTGGCAGCACCTGGGGGTTTGGGCCACCGTGGGCTCAGCATCACTCCTCCGCRGCTGGCAGCCCGTGCGGGAGCCAGGTGTCACCTCCCTTGTCCCAGCAAGCAGTCACCAGAGCAGCATGGGGTACGGCCGGGCAGGCTCGCACCTCCAGGGTCCCCCTCACGGGGCTGCTGGCAGCAGGGAGATCGGGAGGGGATGGGGAGYGCTGGGGACAGAAGTGGCTCCATGCACCCACCTCGGCCACAGCAGAGCCTGGCACAAGGGCTGTCCGGCCCCGCGGCTCCATGCGCTGCTGTGTCCTCCCTGCAGCAGCAAACCCAGCCTGCCCAGAAACCTGCCTTGCAAAAGCTTCACCYAGAGTGGCTCTGAGCTGACAGCATGGAGAGGCCCCAGGGCAGCTCATGGCCTCAGGAGGCGAGTGGCGGCACTGGGTGCGCCGAGGTGCCCAGCGTTGTGGTGCAGCTCAGGCACCGCTCTCCTTGGCCAGGACAAGGGCTTGGCAGGGATGGAGCTAGGATGAGCTGCAGGTGGGGCAGGACACACAAGCACCGGCACCGAAGGAGCCCGCGAGCCCCAGCGTGTCCTGGGCAGGGATGCCCCAGAATCCCGAGGTGCTGCTGGGTTCACCTGTGCAGCCAGGCTCAGGCACGCGCTGCCTTCGGATGTGGCTTGGACCAGGTCACTTAGCCCCTCAGGAGCTCCGCTCTGGAAAGAGGTTGGAAATGTGACCTCGAGGCACCTCAAAAGCACTTGAGCTGGAATGGGAAAAACGGGAGCCCACGGCTTTCAGTTAGCAGCTGGCAGAGCCTGCTCTGCTTCAGCTCAGGGGTCGGGCTCCTAAGCATGGGCYCATTGGGCCAGGCAGGCTTGTGGTGCTGGTGAGGATGCGATGAGATGGATGCAGAGAAGTGGCTGTGGAGAAAACAGATCTGGAGAAGATGGCCATGGTGAAGACGGACATGGAGGCAAAGGCCATGGGGAAGATGCCCATGGAGAAGGCTCCTGCACCACCAGCTGCCTGCAGCCTGGCCAAGGAAAACTCCTGCCCGGTGTTTCTGTGAGCACCTCTCCSTGGTTCTCAGCGCAGGTTAGTCAGACAGGGAATGGCATCGAGGCTGAGCCGAAATTCCCACGCCAGACCCCCAGAGCGTGCAGGTTTGGCTCCCAAACCGCGTTAGTGCCTGCAATTAAGGCTCATTTGTCCGTCACCACCTACCTAGAAAGTCATAGCACCTTTCCGCACTCTGAAGCCCACCCTTACAAAGCCAATACACAACATGTCCATCTTTAAAAGGCATCTGAAAAAAATAGGTTTCTTTGTGTACAACAAAATTCCTGAGCTATAAAGCAAAAGCCGAGACCATGCGGGGCCCTGGGCAGCTTTGTGTGCCAGCTCTGCAGGGTTGGGCGCTCCGGGTCTGCCACAGAGGTTGGTACAAAACCTTGAGAAACCGCAGCTGGGATGGATGGAGTCGTTTGCATGGGGAGAGGGTGATTTTTCTGTCTGAAATATTACACAAAGGCAGTTGTGCTTTGAGCTCGCTGGGAAGAAGCAAGTTTATCAAAACTGGAAAAAAAACAAATCCTCCTGGCTCATTTGAAAGCAAATTGTTTGTTGCTTCGCCCCAGCTGATCTTGGCTGGAGAAACCAAACCCAAACCCAGCAGCTTCCCAGCGTGGGAGCCCGGAGTTCACTTCAGCCAGCAACACAAAATGCCCTGATGAGGAACACGAGCAAAATGGCCAAGGAAATGCCAAGAAGGAACCTCATGGTGTCAGAGACGGGATGCAAAGGGAGAGGCGAACCAGCAGCTCACGGRCATCGTCAGCAGGGATGTGGATCTGGAGGCAAAACCTGACAGACGTGTGAGGGCAAAACAGCCAGGGTGCCCGCGGCTGTGGGAGCCCYGGCGCGCAAGGCGTCGGCTGCTGTGCGGGTGCCCACGGGAGCCGAGGGGCCCGGCGCGCCGCCGAGCCGGCCGGTAGCGGGACGCGGTGCCCGGAACCCCCGCGTGCCGAGCGCGCCTCTCGTGCGGGCGGCGCCGCTTGGAAGGGTGCAATTCCCACAATGCAGCRACCGCCCGGGACGCCTGCTGCGTCCCTCTCCCTTTCCCCAAGGTTGCGACTGGAATTTTGACTCTTCTCTAAATAGTCCTGAGCCCTGCACCTTTCTCATGCCGATTAAATCAAATATTTATTGCTGCTGCATCACATGCCCGGCAAGGCCTTCCTCCAGAGCTCACTGTCTTCGCGGGCTCCTGCCTTTTGAGCCCATGTTTTCCACACATCAAGCGGAGACTTGCAATAAATTTTGAAAATCTCCATTTCAAGTGCAAAGAGAGAGGGAGATTGCCGTGATTGTAAACAGCTCCTTGCTGCTGCTGAGCGAGCTGTTGCRGCACCCAAGACACCAAAGCCAAGGGACAAGGGTAGCAAGTACCACAGGGTCCCTCCTGGCCGCGAGGCAGGAGGGCGTTAGGACAAGGAGCGCAAGGAAAAAATCTCCTGCCTTGATCTGGCCTGAGTGAGCAGAAACCCAGCAACGTTGCCAAGCTGCAAGTATTAAAAAGCAAAAAAGGCTCCAAAAGGCACCCTTCGTGCATGCACACTGGGTCTGTCCCAGGACAGCGCTTGCTTTATTTAAGCCTCTCTTGGCCCGGCCTGGGAAGAGCTGTGCGGCCACCTCTTCTTCAGCGAGGTGGAAACGTGCCGAGAAGGAGCTTTCCCTTGCAGCAGATTCCTCCGTATTCGGGCTTTTCACTCCAATTAAATTATAGATAGCAAGCTAAGTTATTTAGCACCCGTATTAAAGATGCATGGGCCCTGCCTTGCTTTGGCTGAGGCTGGGGCTGAGCGGCATCAAGGCGGCTTTGCCAGGGCTGCCGCTCGCACTGACCCCACTCCATGGATCCGCAGCAGGAAGGGTCAGTGGATGAGTTGCCCCCGCGCTGCGGTAAGTAGGGCACTTTGTTTGCAGCAGTTCCACTTTGTTTTTAATAAATATGTATGGAACCCTGGTTGCTTCGCTGAGCAGGCAGCTCTGGGCTATTTGCACCCGTTATCTACTCGGAGCGGAGAAGAAATCAGGAGCTGGGGGGGACAACGGGCTGCACGTGCAGCAAGAGGGAGCGCAAGGCCAGATCCTGGCCCAGGACTKCATTACAGAAACCGCCCCACGCTCTCCCGGATGAATCTCAAATCCAAGATGCAATTGGGAACCAATTTTCCCAGGTAAATAAAGTCCGTCTGCAGAGCAGGTGCATTAACGTCTGCGTGGTTTTGCAACCAGGGGCCGAGGGGAGCCTTCCCCTCCGCAGGGCTGCTGGATGGCCGCTCTGCTCACGGTGGGCTGGGGATAACGCAGGGTGCCAGAGCAGCACCCACCAGCGCTGGGCGCTCACAGTACCATGGGCAGAGCCCGCAGAGCGGCTCATCCCAGGCTGCGCTCGCCAGCTACCCAACCTGAACCAGTCCCGCTCTCCTCGGAGGCAACAAGACGTCAGCAGGACAGGTGATCACTGGGGCCCACRGCCAGGCCTATGATGCCCAGTGCCACCGCAGCTGCCACCGCAGCTCCCATGGGGATCCGGGAACGGCCGCGGGCTGCTTGGCGGCAGCCACACCAAGGAGCGGATCCGGGTGCCGGCGCTCGGTAGGCAGCGCTACCCGCGCAGCCCCAGCCCTCGGCTCCCAAGCCAGCAGCTCTAGAAGGTGCCAGAGGAGCTCAGAGCTGAACGTCACCCATCCCTATCCTCCCCGGTGCAAAGGCTGCACTGAACGGTAGTGCTGGAAGGACGGACATGAACAAATCCCCGAGGGGAGCCACGAAGTCCAGAGCTGCTTGGAAACAGCAGCGGCCACCGCAGTCAAAGCCGCGGAGCCCAGAGAGTGACTGGAGATTCACTGAGYGTGCAGAGGCGCTGGGCACAGCGAGGCAGCGCTGACGAGGCAGCCTCCTGCCGAGCCCCAGTGCCTGTGCCCTGAGTCCTGGAGCAGGCGGCCTCACACACCGTCAGGGGCAGCCTGCAGGAGCGGGAGCCAAATCCCTGCTGGAAAGGGCTTCTGATTCCAACATGAGGCTTTAAATTAAGGTTCGAGCTAGAAATCTGGGTCTTCCATCTCTAGGCCACGGCTTGCTCRTACTCTTGCTTGTGGAACAGGAGTCAAACATCGCTGAAGACTGTTTGACACAACTTCACTGTTTTCCTAGCAAAAAGGACCTCGCAGCAATTTCCCTAACCCCAATTCATGCTTCCCACTGGCACTCCCTTCGCATGGCCGCCGGGGACCAGGACTCCCCTCCGCTGGGCATCCCTGGGGACGACCGAGTCCCTGGCAGGGGCGAGGGTGCAGCTGGGGTGCAGCCAGTGCCCTGCTGGAGCCTCATCCCTGCCGGCCGTGGCTGCTCCTGCTCGGCGAGGGGCCTCGGGGGCCGGGGCTGCAGCGTGTCGCAAACTCTCGATGCAGCTCTTGCTTTTGTTGATGCGATGGGGGAAACATTAGCTCCCTTGGCCTCCCTGAACGGAGGTGCCCTTCCTCTCCTCACAGTAACAGCACCTGCATTATGGCTAATTGCATGCGAGAGTGCTGTAGATCTCGGTTACTAACAGGACTCGGTGACTAAGGAGAGTGCAGTGARTACATCCACACTGCAAACCACAACGCACCCGCCGCGGGGCAAACGCAGGGCAAATCTGCCCAAAAAAATGGGCAGATTTGTGCCTGCAGTTCGCGTTTCCCAAAGGCAGCCCAGCCCCGTGCCCTGCGTGCCTGCGTCCCGGCGCCGCTCACGTCGCAGGGCGGCCCGGGGGGTCATCCGCCCCACGGCTGCGACGCGGGGACGGGGCACCTCGTGCCTGCGCCCCGGGGCTGCGGGGACACGGGACACGCGCTGCTGCTGCTGCCTCCCTGCTCTCACGGGCATCACACACTCGTGCGCAGCGCCCACGCTGGCTCGCTGAGCTGGAGCGGGGCAGTCGAACCAGCGTCCAGGCACAAGGTTGGGACTGGTCTCAGTAACGCGACGCAGTTTCACACTGGAAGGGAAAAGGTGGAGGGCAGAACGTCTCCAAATACTCTGTGCTCACAGTTTCTGATCTGAGTTGCTGGAAATAGGCCCAGGGCGAGAGCCTCCTCACTACTCCCAGCAAGCAGAAAATGTGCTTTAGCAGCCCGTGCTCTTCAGCGTGTCATTGCCTGTTTTTCTCAGAGTCAGCAGTTGACCAAAAACAGGTATATYGCAGAAATCCATCTCCTTTTGCTACTCCCCAGCAGGGAAGAAGCTGCTTGTGCAGCAGGACAACGGATCAGCCTGGTTTTTATACCCACAAAGCAGCCACAGAGAAATAGGACATTTTGCTCCCCAGGAAATGCTGCTTCTGCCTGTAATGACAGGATTGGGTCTCTCTGGTGGGACCTCGATGGCTTTGCAGAAGTGAGGCCCCACTGGGSACTTCGCTGCATCTCACAGCTCTTCAGCTCACCTAGAAGGGGCGGCCGGCAGCGCCGGGGTCCCCCCAGGTCTGCAGTCGAGAGCGGCGCAGGGGGTGAAGCTGCCACTGCTGCCGTCCCTCCCGTTGCCACCTGTGCAGAGAGGAGCCCACGGCCTTGGGCCTGCCCGGCTCGCTCCGCACGTACCGAGTTCTGTTCTCATTCTCCAGCAAAGCCACGAATGTTTACACYGTCCATCCCACATTCCAGTGGTTTGATCCCGCTTTCCAAACCACAGCATTACTGCCGAGCTCGTAAAACCTGCTAGAGGGTTTAACGCTGCGTAGCACCAGGTCTGGAGTCTAAAGGAAAAGAGGAAGGAACGTAAGAGGAAGCAGCAAATCCACTGCTCAGGGCTCCGTTAAGAAGAGCAGAGACATTTCAGCCAGAAGGAATATGGTTGCATAGTGTTTGATGGACAACCTATGTGCACAGACACCCCCAGAGCCAGGCCAAAGGAATCTGCCCTGCTGTGCCATGACTGACAAACGCTGTCAGTGGCATATCAAGAATAATAACAAATCATACGTGCAATTTGCTGTCCACCACTGCATACCAAAGCAGTCCAAGCTTTCAGTCCAGGTATGAGTGTCTCTCAAACTGCTTTTAAATCATCTTATTTTTTAAATAAAATGTTTGTAAGCATTAACATCAGGAAAGGCAACATTTTGCTACAATTTTAATTTGTGACAGAACCTTCAGAGGCCTGCAGCGCCAGCAAAGCAAATAAACAAATAGTTACTTCACTTGCATCACTTCACAGAATGGCTGCATTTGAAATATTGTTTGTTCAAAGCTCAGTGCATCTCAGGAGCTCTTGTTTCTAACACTAGATACGATACCAGAGACTCACTCTCAGACAAAATACATATTTCATACTTACATTCGGAGCCCTAAACCCAAGTGTTCTAGTGCAATTACCTTTGAAAAATCAGGCCCCAATACCAGGAGTTTCCCCACATGGAGAAATCCCAACATTCTTGGAAATGACTGAACTCTCACTCTTGAATCAGGCTTCTGGACAGAGTCTTAAAATGGACACCACAAATGAGGAAGCCTCCAAATCCTTAGATGCCTTTGAAAATGCTGATTTCAAAGCTTAACTCAAAAGAACTCCCTAGTTAAACACTTGAATTGGAGCTGAGGTGTTTTTTTTTTCCCTTAATCAGGCCCAGACAAATTAAAATGAACACAGAAGACTGAATTTACACAAGAAGTTATTCATTAAAGGAAAGGACAAGAAGGGGGTAGGGAAGAGAAAGCGAGCGTGTGAAAGCGAGAGAGCACACAACAAGCGAGAATACGCCAGGGGACACTGCGCAACRGTGGCAGTAACAAACAGCTGGTGTTATAAAAACAGCAAAGAAGCTTTTCCGAAGTGATGAGCACTTCCACTCCTACCTGAGAAAGCACAGCAAACTCTTAGCCGCTCTGAAAAATCAGACCTAGTTACTCAGTGCTCGAAAGGATATCTGAAGGATCTTGTAAATTCATACCAGAGAGTATAAAAATAGTATCTCCTCTAATAGTAGGAATGCCTTGAAACAACCTGAGCTGTAAAGGAAGGGGACGGTTGAAGGCGGCCTCGAGGCGTGTCAGCGGCAGTGCGGGTACTTCCAGCGCAGGATGGCACCGTCCGCGCTCACGCTCACGATGTACTTGTTCCCGGGGCAGATCTTGAGGCGCGTGATGCTCCCGCTGTGGCCCACTCCAACGTGGGTCACTTCCCCATCGTTATAGTCCCACATTTTCACGAGATGGTCATCGCCACCTGCGCTGGGCACAAAGGAAAAACTGACAATTACACAAAGTTCTGCTGGTTTTGATTGTTGTTGTTGTTCCTTGATCACAGGCAGAGGAATACTACGGGGTTCACCTGGTGTAGGAAGGGTGAGACACATTGTTTTGAGCATCATGGCCAAAACTACTACTTTTCCATTTTCCTGAGAGAAGGTGTCCAGCAGAGTGCTCAGGATCTGCACCAGCAGATCACAGGCAGCTCTGGTCAGCAACTGGCCCCAAATACTAAGGACCTTCAAAAAATCTTCAATCAATGTTAGCTTACCAGATTAACTTAAAGAAAAAAATAAACCCCTAGTGCCAATATACACAACACAATGGTTCCTCCACGCGTGCGTGCAGCTCCCAGAAGAGATGTCATGGCTGTGGGGAATGTGTGAGCCCGAGGCTGGATGGAGCCTGCAGTCATTCTCACTTGCAAACCAACAAGGACTGTCAGGACACTTGAACAGATCATTCGAGTGTGTAGTGAACACCACTGAACTAAATGAAGTGCAGGATGAGGTGCAGCCTAGTCCTCCCTCTGGGACACTTGAATCTTGTCTTTACTCTTAAAATACATCTTGCAAGACTGAACCGTAATAACTTCCAAGACTGATTTACAGCCTCTTTCTAA